GAGAGGATGAGCCCACAGGCGTGTCCTCCCGGCCCGAGTATATCGAGAGGATTACCCCTTAGGTGTTCGGTAGTAATGGCACAAGGTGCTTCTTTAGAAGCGGTCACTGACTCGAAAGGGAGACGAAGGCGGGGGCCGGCTAGAAGCGCACCCCCCCCCTCCCCCCTCTTCCCGCTCCGCCAGTGCCTCCGCGTATCCGGCGTAGTTGTTAATCTCGATACTGCGGAGTCGACGTTGGTGACGTTGTTTAGTTCCGTAACACCCTGGTAGAAACTTTGATCAGGCGCTTGCATGGCCCTGACCAGCGTGCCACATGCCACTTCAGGTGCTGGTATGACACCGCCGGCAAGCGCCATGTACGAAATCGTCACGTTTTGCCCAACTTGCGCCACACTTCGAAGTTGATTTGATGTGGTGCTGGCATGGCGCTAATATGGCGCTAGTAAGTATTATTATAATGCAGACGTGGGACTAGTGAGCACTAACGAGTTTTCAACGTGGCACATAGGGTAGATCGGGGCTGGTTGGTACAGGGGTAAAACAGCTATATATAAAAAATAGTTAATTAAACCGTCTAAAGAAATGCTAAATGGCGATAAACGTTCGCAGCAAGCGTTGCCGAGAGCGTCCCGAGCAGAAATTTTAGTAGGGTTCTGATAGGGTCCTAATAAAGATGCCTTAATGCCTGGTCAGGCACTCATCAGGCAGCCCTGACAGGGCCCTGACCGTAAATGTAAGCATATTCAGGTTAACGAGGTATATCTATCATCCAGACAACTCGCTCTCGCATCGAATCGGCTCGCCCTTTATACTAATACGGGACGATTTTTACTTACGAGAAAGACGCGCGATCGCGGCAGTATGTGGTACTAGTGCTATCTATTCAGGAGGGAATCAGGCACATGTCAGGGATTTCTTATTGGCCCTGATGGAAAAATTTTGCTGAAAACATAATGAAATTTGCTGAAATTTGATTGAAAATCTCTTGCAATTGACCCAATTTCATTATCATTTCAGCAATTTTTCATTAAAAAATTTATTTTCACTTCAATTCTGCAAATTTCAGCAAATTTCATTACGTTTTCAGCAAAATTTTTCCACCAGGAAGGGCATTCCTTACTTCCTCCCTATCGGGCTCTGACCATACATAAGGCATGCATGACTTTATTTCTAGTCGGGAATGCCATCCCAGACAGCATACATATCTAAAAGACATTATAAAGACGTCTTTACGACGTCTTTTAGACTTAAAGACGTCTTAAAGCTGTCTTTTAGACATGGTGTGCTGTCTGGGATGCCATTTATTATTAGGCGCGGACATGGCGCTAACATGGCCTTTCCCAGTTTTTTAGGATAAGGCGCTGGCGTGGCAAACTTGCATGGCGCTGACAAGTGTCGTGGCGCCGGCAGGGCAATTTCTACCAGGGACCTTCTCTGAATAAACGATACTCAACATATCGCGCGTTTATCCTCACAGATAAAAGCACAAATATTCGCTGACTTTCACTGAAAAAATTCTAATTCTATTAACACATTTTTCATAAATCATTGCAAGAATCGCAAAATACAAAAATAACAAATACAGCACTTTTCTATTCAGTTTAAACCGCTTTACCTGACCAGAAGAAATGTTGCATTTAGTACAAGAAACGATTTATAACACTTACCTTTCTGTCAAATGGTATAAGCAGATAATTACTTGTCACTTGTGTTTGTTTCATTTCTTATTCGTTTACGCGGCTGCATTGGTTTCCTTCGTCGTCTTTTTATCGATTACTGCTCGTTCCAGAACTGTATATATTATATATATGGTATATATATAATATATATAATATATAATATATAATATATAATAATAATATATAATAATATATAATATATACATACATATATATATATGGTTCATTTTTCCGATTACGTTTTTCGATTAAATTACGAGTACATCCGATGAAATTCAGTTACCGATGAAATTTGATCGAAAAACCGATCATATTTTTCATCGGATACACAATTTAATCGGATATATTCCTTTGTTATTATGTAATTGGATTATCTTTTTATATTTAATCGGACATTATTCTCAGTGTAGAAATGTAGATGTGAAATTTTTTTAGCAATAGATACTCGAAAAATAAAATTAATCATGTGACAATTTATGAAATAAATTTCTTAATTTTTGTATTGTACATAAAGATATTTGATCGTTGCTACTAACGAGAAATGGAGGAGTTGTATAACATATGTTTCCATTAGGCATTGCCAAATTGAATAAAATATTATAAATATAAATAAATATCAAATTTGAAATCTATCTTATCTACATATTTAAAAAATAACCTCAATATAAATCGATATTGAAGAAAATATTTTACCATATAAATTGTCTGTGACATTTCATAAGTTGACAACTTCTCATGTGGACAACTTCTCATATTTATTATTTTTAATTTTTTTTCATGTTTAAATATGACTCAATCAATAATATCACAGCATCATTGAACATATAATTACTTAAATTTTTTTAGGTATATCGGCAAAGATACAAGAGTACCTTTATCACTGTGCAATGTACCGTCCCTGAACGCGCGAACTTTAGACTACCTGATTTGTCTATTATAAATGCTTCCCATTTGAAAAGTATTATAGTCTCGACATTTTCGTATTAGGATTTTCGTTTTACTCTTTGTTCAGAAATACGTTATTAAAATTTCGGTCACGAATTGCGGAACACCCTATATAATATAATTTAAAAACAGAAAAGTTAGAGAATATTTATTATTTTAAATTTTACACATGCCCTTTACTCGATTATTTATTGTTAAGATTGAATTCATCGATATACAGGATGTCGGATTCGATTTGGACCCCTCCAAAGATTATAGTAGATTGGGTCAAACTGAGAAGAAAAGTTATATACCATTTTACAAAATCCGTAATTATTATCGCGTAATTAAGAAAAACGTCTGAGCCAATAAGTGCACGGAGGAGCTGAAGGCCGGACTCGGCAGACACGCAAAATTCTATAATTTAATCGGAAAACGTAATCGAAAAGATTAGCCATCTTAAACACCATTTAATTGATTTTTATCCGAAATAAAAATTTGCCTGAGCGTATTAATACACATTATGAAAAACCTACTGTAATTCTAATATTTGTGGGAATCGTGGAAAGTATGGAACATCGTTGGTATAGGAGAAATGACAATACATCGAATACAAATGAGAAAATGCATTTATTCACGTACGAAAGGGATTATAAAAGGAAATTACCAAAAATTTGCGCGTATACAACACTAAATGCATTTACCGCCTACTTCGAGCTACCAATCGGATTTTCTCGCTTACAGTGAATTGCGTAACACTACAATCGCGGCCCGTTAGAGAGAGTAAGAGAGAGAGGAGGGGGGGGGGGGAGGGAGAGAGAAAGAGAGAGCGAGAGACAGAGAGAATATCGGTTAGAGTAAATTATAAATAATAAACGTACGACGAGAGGGGGAAGAGTACGCGGTGCGCATGAAATACCGTCGCGTTCAAATTTTCGCATTCGATGCGCGATGGTGTGGTCGCCCGAGTCCATCCGTAGTCAAATCCTCTTACAGACGGATTCCTGGGTTTCGGGACGCGACGAAGTTGAGGAGTTCGTCGCTATCCTCGCACACGAAAGGCTTCACGTGATGGCAGGCCACGTCGTGCCACTTGATTCCGTCGTTGTAGAAGTTGTTTAAGATGGACAGGCAGGACTCGTCGTTACCCTGCAAATGTACGAAACAATTAAGCCTCCGATTGTTAATTGTAGGATTCTTTGTCGTCGGAAAGGAGACATGTCGATTCGACAACGTTTCGACATCAATCGACGAATCATTTCTCACTTATGTTACTATAATAGTTTCGTACGAGCTTTTCTTTCAAAGTTTCGGAATTGTTAAGTCAAAAGAATATTGCTTGATTTACTGCTTGAGAGAAATTCTCACAATTTTGAACTAAAAATGGAGCCCCTTATGTGATTGTGAATAATTTCCTTGGGAAAATTTGTTCTAAATAAAAAAAATATTTAAGTAATCTTTCAAATCTAAGAGTTCACTTATAGAAGTTAAAAGTTTACTGAAGAAATTATTAAGTAATTTTGGACACTTAAAGCAATTTTAAGAAACCCGAAAGATTTTTAAAAAATACATTAAACTTTAAGATTTTTTAGATAGCTCAGCCTGTCGAAGTTTCCGCTAGAGAGCTGTGCGGCATAGCACTTTCTCGTGAAAGAAAAACCGCACGTGGTATAATAAATTATATCACATGTGACTGATATCTTGCAAAACACTTCGTACAAAGTTTCAATGAAACACTTAACTTATTTTAATATTCTCTTACGTTTTCTTGAAGAAAATGTTAGAATTATGAAAAGTAAATTTCTACAATTACACTATTTTGAAATTATCTCGAAGAACTTTAAAACTGTTAACATTTACTTTTCACAGTTCTTAGATTTTCTCTGAAATTCTTAAAGTAAGTTTCAAGTTTACCTTAAATAAAAGTTTAAAGTGTCCACATTTACTTTTCATACTTGTTATCTTTCTAAAGTACAATTATTAAAGTTTCCCAAGTTTCTTTTCATTCATAAACGAAATATATATTTTAATGAAGTAAAATTTATTTTAAAGTTGCTCTTCTTTTACATGAAAACTCAGATAAATCTCACTTGTGACGTCATAACTCAGTTGAATGCGTGTTCCCTTTGATTCTTGAGAAGTGAGATTCAACCAGATTTAACTGAGTTTTCGCACACGATCAAGACCGTGCGCTTTAGTGAGTTAATAGACTCGCTATTATGACGCTTAATGACGTCATATCTGAGTATAAAATACTCACATAACTGAGTGACTCAGTATCACTTGAGTGTAAAAGGAAAGCAGCTATTATGATCACTTTGAAGCAAGATATACATATATACGTTGGCACGTTTCATTTTTCAAGATGTTACAAAAAAATTTTTAAGACCAAGTATACACGATCTCAAGTAACTTTTGTATTTAATTGATAGCGTGAAGCAACAGGAGCGAGACGCCGATAAAAATTACTAAAGGTCACACATATGACAACGGTGATAAATCCGGAGATGCCAAAGTACTTTCACTTTACCCTACGAGAATATAAATCAGAGTTTCACGGGGTCGACGCCGAAGGAAAGCGCACTGGAATCGGATGCCACGTTCAGCGAGACAAAAAACGCGAGTGATCTCTTCGTTTCTCCAGTTTACTTAAAATCTCCTTTTAAATCTTATTTATAAAAATAATTTAACGGCCAACTCACTAATTTTTTAAGTTATTTTTTTCTTAAATACACAACGTTGAACGTTTTGACCTAATTCGGTTATCCTCGGCAACAAATTCAAAGCAATTTCGTCGTTTAAATTTTACATAAGCAGCAGTTTACCATTTTTTTTTTAATTCTAGTTCTCCGGAGTTCAGAACAATCATGATTTGTAAAAAAATATAAGAACCAGTGGCAAAAAAGTCTCGCAATCAACAAACAACTAAATATTGAACAAATTAAAAATTTACAAATAAAGGCGCATTATAAAATGTAAATCATTATTTGATTATTCTATTATTCGGCGTGAATAAAACTGGTAGTCCGCATTTTGAATGTCCAAAAAGGCCAAATATGTAGTCAGATATGCGCAAATCCATGTGGCCACGTTAAAAAATACCGTTTAGTTCACGATAGATAAGGGAAGAGAAATTTCGTTTTATTAATATTTACTGAAACACGAGAGTGAGTCTTTTGAACGAGTAAACAACACTCTACCTGTGCAGCCTCACGATTGTCTGGCTGCGGTTGACCGTATCCACCGGTGTTGCTCCAGTCTCCGGAGTTGCGTTGGCTTGTCGGCCCGATCTTGGCGCCGGATCCGGACCAGAACCATCCGTTAACGTTCTGGGGCTGAAGATCGGGTCGGTCGCAGCCGTTGAAATTGCATTTACGGCCCGACGTCCAAATGTATCTCACGTTAGCTGGGGAAACGACACTTGAGTGATTTACGTGGTTAAAAAAATTAAAACCCGTACTTTTGCTCGATTGACATTAACCCGACTTAACATACGGTAACGAGGTATTTGCTGAGATCAAAAGAGAAAATTTTAGGATGGCGCAAGGGATTTTTACATGGGGGGAAACAATTAACATTCTCTTTGTCTGCTGAACAACGATGACGTAAGCCAAATCGTAAGGCTGATGACCTTTCAATCTCTAAATGATAGCTCGCGACGCATTGATTATCTTCACCCGGACGTCCGCATCACTGTGACCGCAATGGAAACTCCGTTCCTTTGGCTGTAAAATTATCCGAAATGTGACAGTAAGATTTAAATGAGGATCGAGGAAGCGCGGATAAATGGCTATAATTTTCTTAATAAGGCCGGATGTCTTAATCAAATAATGCCTCATTATCCGAATAATAGCTCGAATAACCTCGTCCATAAAATGTCATGTTCAACTTAATATTATCATCAAGAAAATACCGATTCACGTGTCTCTAATCTGTATAATAATACGTGATATAATTGGTTTCCGATACGGATCTTTTACGTTATTGCAAATGTCATTTCACACGCGAAACACTTTTTAATCAATTCTGTCAAAACCGCACGAATCGCGCATTCGGTATTCTTGTGCACGCCCCACAAACATTTTTTGACAATAAATTGTTTAAACAACTAAGGAGCGGGCTTGGGATCAGCATCTAACGCGATTGCATTTCAAAGTTTTTGCGCATCCGAGCCCGAGCAGAATTTTGCCCAGAATTAATTAAGATAAAACGTAGATGCCAGGCTCTTCGAAGGCATCGAACTCGCGTTTCGTCATCACCCTATTAAATGCCACGAATTAAACTTCCCTCAATATTTCCTTATTGTATCTTGATAAATTTACTTGCGGTTTCCCGTGGCACGATGGCGAAATCAGCTTTCCAACCAATAATCACGATAGTAGCACAGTGCATTGGTTAAACATTGATTCAATATTATAAGGTGTGTGTGTGTGTGTGTGTGTGTTTGCGCGCCCGCGGGTAGACGCTACCTTTTATTTAATCAATATCTCTATTTGGCAATATTGGTCCAATATTGTATCAATATTTCTTAATCTTGACTAATGTACTTTCAAAAAAATCTAATATTATATAATTATATAATTATTGAGTACCACTGACTCAAGATTGGCTATGTTGAAAATGCATTGTTCGGTATTTCCTAATATAAGCCAATATTAGTCATAAAATAAAAAGAAATGTTGCATAACAATAATTACATAATATTGGATTTATATTTAAAGTTTAGCAAAGGTTTTCCATTATAACGTGAATATTAATACAATATTAGATCAGTATTGCTAAATAGTGATATTAAGGGGATCCTTCAGCCATCTTTTTTACCGACACAGTCACTGTAGTTGTTCCCAGAGAGAAATGATTCGTCGATCGACGTCGAAATGATGTCGAATCATCGTCAATTCGACGGTGTCGATGTCGATTCGACGTCGTTTCGACGTCGATCGACGAATCATTTCTCACTGGGTTGCGCTTGTAATTCTTTTATTAGCTTTTATGCGCAAAATAATACCAGGACAAGTTGCGGACCGCATAACAGAACATTTTCACATTGCACTTAAAACATTCAGTTCAGAAGTCTAATAAAAAAGATACTTAGAAATTTTCAATTTGCAGTTCTAACTAAATTTGAAATTGGCTTTATAAAATCGCAAATACCAATATTTTTTTATTAGACTTCTGAACTGAATGTTTCAAGGCAATGTTCTGCTCTGCGGTCCGCAATTTATCCTGGTATTATTTTGTGCACAAAAGCTAATCAAAAGTATTACAAGCGCAAAAACTGTATTTGACTGTCGGTAAAAAGGATGACTGAAGGCTCCCCTTAAGTAAGAGGAAACGTCTACTTTACAATATTGAACTAATGCTGGGAATATTAGATTTATATCATTTCCCGATATGTTGCGCCAATATATTATATACATATATACCCTGTATATATATGTATAATCAAGTAAAAAAGTCCTGTACTACTTTTCCCTCTAACAAACAGTTATCGAAATATCATAAACTAAACATTGAAAAAGTTATAAATTTTCTCTTGAACATCTCAAAAAGTATTAGGCAATTAAAAAAATGTTTTAGACAAAACTTACGTACTTTTTAACATGGAATGCGAATCTGTTATAAAAAGTGGGGGTTCCCATTTTAGATTTTAAAGTTGTCCCCCGCCCCACCCACAGAGGTGGGGGTGGGGGGGTCAATTTTGGTATCATTCGATAGCTCTTTCAAAAATAGGAAATACGTATTTTTCCGTTTTCCGATCCACCCACAATTTCTCGGGATATTCAACCGTTCCGGGACTTTTAGACCACCCTGTATATACCCTGTATATATATAATCAAGTAAAAAAGTCCTGTACTACTTTTCCCTCTGACAAACAGTTATCGAAATATCATAAGCTAAACATTGAAAAAGTTATAAATTTTCTCTTGGACATCTCAAAAAGTATTAGGCAAATAAAAAAATGTTTCAGACAAAACTTACGTACTTTTTAACATGGAATGCGAATCTGTTATAAAAAGTGAGGGTTCCCATTTTAGATTTTAAAGTTGTCCCCCGCCCCACCCACAGGGGTGGGGGTGGGGGGTCAATTTTGGTATCATTCGATAGCTCTTTCAAAAATAGGAAATACGTATTTTTCCGTTTTCCGATCCACCCACAATTTCTCGGGATATTCAACCGTTCCGGGACTTTTAGACCACCCTGTATATATTATATTATTCTATTAGGATAAATGAGCCGCGTTCGTATCTAACGTATCTAAGCTAATCGCAGAGTCCGTTTATATAATTATTGATTCGATTAATAACTTGAACTATTAATTATGCTCACAGAATTTACTCATTGTTACTATTTTACTCACTTGTTTCTTTCTCTACATTATTTTTATACTTGCTACTATCAAAGAAAGAGAATCTGGTGGAATAACTAAATATTCGCTCCAACAAAAGTTAGAATAACGAAAGCTTTAGTTTGCTTGAACGATAGTTTGTACGATCTTGGTGTGCAATAGTTCACACGAATGTATGAAATATAAAAATTATTAATTAAATAAGAAATGAACTAGAATTCATTACTTGAAAGTTTAAAGAGAAGAGAAAGCGAGTGGGACAATTGAAAGAGAACGCGTATAGCATCTCAATTAAAGAATTATCATATGAAAGTTATATACCTTGACAATGGTCAAACGAAGAACGCGAAAATCTTTTAGATAACGAATACAAACAAACAATCGCAAGAATCCATGATCTTGATAGAACACGTTATAAAGGACAATGGTTTCACGCGTAATCTTCAATTCATTATCTTCAATTCAAAGCTTGCTTCAAGCTAATAAATTGCGCTAGATTATGTATTATTTAGATCGCTGCTAAAATTAATTCGCGGTGCCGATCTACCAGAAAGAAAGCGGAGCTTTTTATGTCATTTTACATCTTGACACTGCCGGTGCTTCAAACCGACGTGTCGTTGAACAGCCGCTTTGGCGGCAACAAGCGTCTCGTTATCGTCAACGAGATTCGCGAGAATCCAGTCTCGGAAGACAAATCGTTAAATTGCAGGTACCTACATAAAATCCCTTTCACGCCAGCTCCTTTTTCTGAGCGGGGCATCAACGGTCAAGTGAAAGTGACCCGCTTCGCCGGGTATAGGGGCACCACGCGAGCATCGTAGTCACCCGCGAGTCTAAATTACGATTCGAATTGCTCGCAGCCGAGCAGCCAGCCAGCGGGATCAGACGGGGTCGCGAAGAAGTGACGAAGAGAAATGACGAGTGGTCGCTATCATTGCGCCACTGAATTCGCGGACGCGCCTAATCGGACTTACCCGTCCTGCGAGGCTTAATCGCGCGGGCAACGTGGTGCAATATCGGCTCTTAAATTGACCGAGGAGGATCCGCTTTTACTTCTCACGCGCCCGTCTGCTTCGTTAGATTCGCAGAACTGCCTAGGGATTGCGGCGCGAAAATTTCCCTCGCGAACGAGGTGCGAAACTAACGACGTTAATGAGATTCCGTGTCACTCGCGCCTCTCGAATTTCTGACGCGAATCCTGAAAAGAATGGCGAGATTGCAGCCAGCGAGTTTCACCTTACTCGAGTACTCTTGGAAAAATTGTGAAATATGGAAAACATCGATTACACTGGACCGCGTTCGTAATTGACTCTTTACAATTAGATAGTAGGGTTTTTGATAACGACAAAAATATTTTTGATGTATTTAAGGCAGTGAACTCTATACATACTGGAATGAGTGATCTATAGTTCTGGCTGTTGCCGAGAGAGAGGTGCGTTGGGTGAATCCTTGTCTCCTTCTAGTACTACCTGATTGGATAATCGCATATAAGTGACGCCCTTCTTGTCGTCATTTATATGCGACTATCCAATCAGGTAGTACTAGAAGGAGACAAGGATTCACCCAAACGCACCTCTCTCTCGGCAACAGCCAGAACAAT